AATCATAAAATTATATAAATTAATTAATGTTAAAACATAAAAATAAGGATATAAATTTTTATTTTTTTATATTTTAAATTATACAATAAAAAAAAAACAATTGTTTCTTATCCCTTAACCTACACTACACCAACTCTAAAATCAATATTTGTATAAATGAAATAAAAACACAATCCTTGTATTAATTAAAAATTTATTACACAACAAACATTCAAAGACTACCTATAATGGATTTTCGATAATAGAAACTGATATTTATTCAATAATTCTTTGCATTATGTGCAAACTAGAAAACAGTAACTAAAAGATTCTTAAAATGTTAAGATTTCACCATGTGCTGTTTTTCTCATTGGAAGTCCAAATTCACTTCAACAATAAGTTGGTTTAGATTAGAACTTTGGTCATAACAAGTGCTGTTTTTCCTCTTTAAAAGTCCAAACCAAGCCCAACTATCAAACCCAACCGACGTAACCTTTCTAGTTGCCTTTGTCCGAAGGACAGACCAAATCCAGCGTCCCCTTGTTCGGTGCAACATCTTTGTTTTCTTTTCTTCTTTTCCTTTTTTTCATTTTTTTCTCACATTTTGTCTTAAAATTCCAGAAGAATCCTTGTCGTTTTTTGAAATTTCCTTTGCAAAAATCTTCCTTCCACATTTCACCAAAGAAAATAAAAAAAAAAGATCTTCTTCCCCACCTACTGACTCAGGTATACCTTTTCGCACCCCTTTTTTCCTCTGTATTTTAGTACTAATTTTTTAGGGTTTTTTTTTTTTTTTTGGGAAGTTCTTTCTGGGTTGATTGGGTTTAGGGTTGTGTTCTTTTTTCCAAGTAAAGCATAACTAAACAAGATGCAGCAGCCACAGCAAATGATTCCCATGATGTCTTCATTCCCACCCACTAATATCACCACTGAACAGATTCAAAAGGTATCGACTTTCTTTCTTTCCTTCCTTTTTCAGCTGCCCTTTTATATCTACCGGCCTTAGGTGTTGTTTTCAATGCTGTTAGTTTGTCTTTTTTACGGTGGTTTACCTGTTCTGAATGATATCTTGTTCGACTTTAGTTATTGAGATATGGATATTAAATGGGCAAGAAATCTATGGTAAGTTTTTGAGGTTGGTTCTCAAAATTTCTCATTTGATGAGATAAGAGAAACCATTTCATGTATTCTTGAGCTTAGCTCCATCATAAGGAAAAAAAAAAAAAGAAGTGCTTTCCATGAATTAGTTATGCTCGTTTTGAGTTGGTGATTGTAAAATTTAGAACAATGACAGTCTATGGAAGGTGATGATGATGGATTATAGAGATTAATGTAGATTATTTCCCTTATTAGAGGATCTAATTTTTTCGTATCTCTAATTAGGAGCTAGCAACATGCATGATTTTGGCATAGTGAAGCCTAAATATCTTGAAAATACAATGAAGTTAGCATCTTTAGAATCAAATATTATTTCCTGTTCTGTCTGAAATATGTTCCTTGGAAGTAAATTGACTTATTTTGGGAGTTTTCTTACCATATGGTATTTTATTGTATCTGCATGGAACTTTACAAAACATGTCATTTAAGATTAGTTAGACTTGTTATCATCCTATAACGCTTCTAAAGACTCGATTTGCAGTCTGTTTGGCATATCAAGATGACGACAAACGTCTGCAACTAGCTGTCAATTTCCTGGCATATATTTATAGGTTCCCATACGAGTCTTGTTATTAGTCATGACACATGCCAAGTTCTGAGAGCTTTGTATGTGCTCTTAGTTATGGCATATATTTCTATTACCATGTTTGGAAGTGGATTCTAGCCCGATAAAAAATATGATTGTTTAAGCAGCCTGCGCGTCTAAAAACAATTGCAAGTTGTGGCCACCATAGCCCTTCAATAGGGCCTTATATAAACAGTCTATAAGGCTGCTACCCATCCCTTAAGTAGGCCAAGTGTTTCTATTTTAGATCATTACTAGATGTGAATTAGTCAACAATGGCCACATTTTACATTTGAGTGATGTCCTTGGAGATGTCCCAATTATTATCATGTCCAGAGATGATATTCCCATGCTTGGGTAAATAACAGAGTCAAGGTAGCAGATGAGTTCTCCCTCTTTTCAGTGTAGGCATGTGTTCCTATATTTAAAAGTTGTGCAGAATCTTTTATGCTGTAACAAGAAATCGAAAATTGAATAATGAAGTTCCTGGGCCTTGTACCAGTTCCAGGCCAGTCTAACTGGAAAGGAATCGCAAGAACCTCAATTCACAAGCTTGAGACTAAGCAGTAACGGCATTAGCTGCTTAGCTGTTTTTAGGAGGGTTTAAGCATGTGATTTGGATGTTTCATTGTCAATTGGTAGTTCAATAATTTAACTACAGTAGAGCTAGTTAGCTGTTGATTTTTCTCTGTAAGGAAAGGTAGTAAAGCATTTCTGTATTCTTCATTTCATTATAACCAAGCTATATTTTTAAACCAGCAACCATCTGTTGAATGGGTAATCATTTTCTGGGGTTAAAGTCCTTGTCAGGATTGAGAACAATTTTAGTACTTACTTAGATGCAAGCTTTTAAAATTTCTAGGATATGATCAGAAACTTACAATGACTCTAGTTACAGAAATTATACCAGTATGCCTCATGTTCTTATTTTTGCTTCCTTTTTCTCTGTTTGTGCTTTGCAACCCAATTTTGTCAAAGCAGAATGTAACATTTATATTGGATTTTGATTAAACTTATGATTTTATTTGTTGTTACAGTATCTGGATGAGAATAAGAAGCTGATTTTGGCAATTTTGGACAATCAGAACCTTGGAAAACTTAATGAATGTGCACAGTAAGAGACTTTTTAACCTCCACCCCCTTCCCTTCTATGCTGTCTTGCATGCATGTTAAGACAGTTAAGTCATGAAATCTGACATAGATGTGCCTTGAGTTGGATGAGGCCATGAACTTCTATTCATATTATGATGTTCAACTGTTTCCAAATGTCTTATATTGGTATTATGGTTGATTGTTTGAGACTTCTTTCTCTCATGTCGCAGATACAAAAGGAAGTAAACCATTCCTACGACCACGAAACTATAATCATTTTCACATTTCTGTTGGATTTAGTGTATGCCCTTATAGCTGCAACTAGGACTGAACCCAAGGATTCTTTAAAGAGCCAACTCAAAAAATTCAGTCCTCGTCTGTGTGGTAGGGATTTCTATAGTTGCAAGTATTACAGCCTGCAAGGTGGTATGGCAATTTAAATGAGTTTGGGATCAAGGTTAGATAGGGCTGAGGATGTGAATTCAAGAAACTAAAATGGAGGTCTTCAGGGCATGAAGTGTGGAAATCAATATAAATGAATTTCAACTTTTACTTGAATGTCATTATCTTTAGCTCAGTCGCAATTTTTTTCCAATTAATTTATATACAGTGCCTCTCTCTCATTCTGTCTCTCAAACAAAACATGTGCATATGCATACTTTTATGTGCTTGGTATTTGGGCACTTATGTATAAGATTTTGCTGATTTAGGTATCAAGCTCAGCTGCAAAAGAATTTGATGTATTTGGCTGCAATTGCTGATGCTCAACCTCCAACAACACCAACAATGCCTCCTCAGGTAGGTACTAGGTAGCCAAGGTGATTGGTTTATTTGGACCTGGCAACTGTTAACACATCTTGCTTATATTTTTACCGAATCTGCAGATGGCCCCACATCCTGCAATGCAACCAGGAGGATATTTCATGCAACATCCTCAGGCTGCAGCAATTGCTCAGCAGCCTGGTCTTTTCTCCCAAAAGATGCCTATACAATTCAATAACCCGCATCAAATACAGGATCCACAGCAGCATCTCCACCAGCAACATCAACAAGCCATCCAAGGGCAAATGGGGATCAGACCTGGAGGCCCAACAAATGGCATGCACGCCATGCATGCTGACCCCACTCTTGGAGGTGGCAACAGTGGTCCTCCAGCTACTGGCCCAAATGATATACGAGGTGGAAACAAGCAAGATGGCAGTGATGCTGGCGCTGATGGGCAGGTCAACTCCAGTGCTGGTCACGGCAATGATGGGACAGAGGAGGCAAAGTAATCACCCTGATGAATGATTTTGATTGCATTCCTGTTGCTGTGGATGGTAGGATCCTCTTGTTAGACGGTATTATTAGCTTTAAAATTTCTTGTTACCCTTTAATATTCCCAATTTAGGTAGGTAAACCAATGTTGTGGTCTCAGCATGCTAATGAATGGTGCAAAGAAGCATTTAGGTTCGACAGTTTTTGTTCCCGACTTTCATGTCTGTCATCTTGTACCAATAACCGATCAATGCATGCAAGTTGTCTTTGTGACCCGGTTGATGCTTCTCTTCATTGCACATATTGATATTAGATGCTTATAAAACGCTCCGGAATTCAAGGTTGTTGGACCAAACTATGAGCTTTTACCCCCCACTTTTTTTCAAATTTGAGAAGTGAGCTTTACCTTTAATAAAGATTCAAGTATTTACAGCCAGTAGTACATGGCAAAAGTTTCACCATGAATGTGGCTTCTGCAATACAGCTGCTATAGGGTCGCCAAGACGTCGAAATCCAACACAAACAACCTTCCTTACATCACAAACTATAACAGCATGAAAATGCAGGTTACTCATTAATATATTAAATAACTAGACGTTCTGCTCCTTCTAGTCGTTGTCATTTAGCCTTAAAAAATTTATTTTCAAAAAAATGAAATTAATTTCTTATGCCTGAGATGTCAACCTTCATTTTCAAAGAAAATGCAAAAATATAGAATATGGAAATTACTGAACAAATCCTTCTCAATCCGGAACCTTGAAAAGAAAGGCCAAGACTTTATCCCCCAAACAAAAATGAAAATCTGTTTTCTTTTCAAACACATCGGCTCTGTAATAAGCACGCAAACCATTCTCTAACCACATCTACATCACCCTCCCAAAGGCTCCATCGTTTATTTCTATTACTTTGCTTAATAATTCTTTGCGGTTCCCAAATTTTCTTAGATTGGATGATGAGTTTTTTTTATTTTATAGCACAGTACAATCTGAATTGGAGAATTCCTTTTCATTTGCATTAAATTTGCAACCTGGTTTGTCCTCTGCTAATTGATTTTCTTTCTAAAACAGAGGCATCTTTTATGCCTTAAAACCATATCAATTCCTCTGTTTTTTTCCCTAGAAATTCGACCGCCATGAAAGAAGACCAGCGTCCTTCTTCCAATCACCAGAGAAAACCCATCATCACAAAGGCTTTTACCTATCCAACAGTGTATATAATTTTACTCATACTGAGCTACTCCCTGGGTTACCTTTCTCAGTCTTCGTCTGTACCGACGACGCAACAGTCGCCGCAATTACCCACTCCTTCAGTCTTCCAGTTCTCGAATTTGCCAACCCAACTTGACAATTTCAGAGTCACAACCCACTGCGGGGAGACCCTCCCTGCACAACTCGTCTCCCAGACGATTCTTGACCGGGTCTTTAATGGCATCTCTCCCTACACCAATTTCCCTCCACCGGACGCCACCTCCCTCCTCAAGCCGAAGAGAATCAAGGGCTGGGGCTCCTACTCCACCGTCTTCCGCAACCTCATCCAACGTGTCAAACCGCGCGTCATCATCGAGGTGGGTACTTTCTTAGGCGCGTCGGCTCTCCACATGGCAAACCTGACTCGCACCCTCGGTCTCCAAACTCAGATCATCTGCGTCGACGACTTCCGGGGCTGGCCCGGCTTCCGGGACCGGTTCAAGGACATCGGAATGATAAACGGCAACGTATTGCTGCTGTACCAGTTCATGCAAAACGTAGTATCCTCCAACGCCACCGGGTCGGTTTTACCCTTACCGTTCTCTACGGCGTCGGGTCTCCAAAAATTATGCGAGTGGGGCGTGGCGGCGGACCTGATTGAAATCGATGCGGGTCATGACTTTATGTCGGCGTGGGGAGACATAAACCGAGCGTATCGGATCCTGAGACCGGGTGGGGTAATATTCGGCCACGATTATTTTACCGCCGTAGATAATCGAGGAGTAAGGAGAGCCGTCAACTTATTTGCGCAAATGAATAATTTTAATATTTCAACGGACGGCCAGCATTGGGTGATAAATACTACTTGAGATGACAGCAATGATATCTATATATGTAAATTTTTTTTTTAACATAGTGTAATTATTTACAAGTTAATTGAGAGATTGGAAGAAAGGTTTCGTAAGGTTTGAACGTGTAACTCATATGAAATAAATAGCTTTAAAATAGGATTCAATATCACTGAATCGAAATGGACCGTTTCATATATGTAAATTTTAATCCATAGTTTAATGGAAGAAGACGTTTTATATTTTTACACAAATATATATATTTTTATTGTAAAAAACATGATTAGTAAGTTAGTATTTATTCAAAAATTGATCAAAAAATCGACTTGATAATCATAAACTATACTCCACCTTGCGTCTCACACAAAAAAACGTGATTACTTAGACCACATGAAAAAGTGCTTTTACATAGATATGTTGTTAGGGGGTGTAATGATAGGATTAAGAACAAAGAATTGATTAGCGACATAATTAGTTTGTAACCATATATGACATAGGCGTATTTTGTTCAGTTAATAAGAAATTATTGATAATTGTATTTTTTTAATCAGACGAATAATGATAGTACATGTTGTTTTCTAACAACTAAACTCGATATGGTCTATAATCTTGCAATGTAAAGTTTCTTTTTATTTTAAGAAATTATCCTTTTATCTTTCTAAAATCTTATATATCATCTCTACCAATATATTGTAAGATTCAAATTCAGAATTTCTAATTTGAAAAAAATAAGACTACCATCTAAGTTTGTGGCTTTGAGCTGTGGTAGAAATATTGTTAACACGGTATGCTTGTTCTTAGGCGTCTAATTGTGAGTTATGCATTTGAGCTTCTTTTAGACTGGTAAGGCAAATGGCAAATGGTACTTGAGTTGGTTGCCCACAACACCATGGATTAGACATTGGATTAAACATCTATGGGCCTTGGTCTATATTGTGTCATCTGAGTATGGGCCTAAAGCTGAAACTACAAAGAGACAAATGGTACTCTCAGTTTACTGTCTCGATATCCTGCTCCCTTGGGCTCTTTAAGTGTAGTTTAAGTTGAGACATCAGAGAACCAGAATTGTCACTGAAAAAAGAGGCATTTCATTTTCATCTCACCCCACAAAACAAAAACAAGAAGAGTAACGAGGGCTTGGGCTTATTGCCACCCAGATATTGTTAAGGCTTTTTATTATAATTATAATTTTATTTGTTTATATTTTTTAAAATAATTAATTACAATATTTAAAAATATTTATTTATAAATTAATTTTAATTTATTAAATAATAAATATTAATTATTTTATTAATTATTTATTATTTTTAATAATTAAATTAAGATAAAAATTTAACTATTTAAGTGGTCTTAACAAATTTAAGGATGATCATAGTCATAACCAATAACGAGATGAGATGTCTCCCTTTTTTTTCTTTTTTTTTTCTTTTGTATATATAAAACTAATAAAATAACTTTTTATGGTAGATATAACAATTATTTTAGGATAAATACGATATTCTGTCTCAATTTTTTTATGTCTACCTTCTCTACCAAAGAATAAAACTTAGTTGTTTTTTTATTTAGAATTTGTTCTTTAATGATATATTCCTCTTATTTTTTTAATAGACTTATTTTGACTTTTCAATTTTGTAAGTATAAATTTTAAATAAAAATTTAACATATTATATATATAATAATTGAAATTTTTTTTGATCATATAAACGTACACAACAAAAACTTTATATAAAAAGAAAAAACTTTTTAATTTTTGTTTATATAAATTGTTAATTTTTTTTTTTGAAATACATATCTTAAAAGTCAAAAAAATCAAATTAAGTATGCTAAAAATGAACAAAAAGAGTATTTTTTTTTATATATTTTAACTTTATATTTGGGTTGAAGAAATTAGAGGGGTGGGGAAGGAGGGTAGAGGAATTATATTCTCCCATTTCCCTCCCCTCTCTTCCTTTTATTTAGATAAATAACTAAATTAAAAGAGAAAATAAAATAAAAAGAAATTTTCTCCTTCTTTCCCTTTCAATTTTTTTTTATAACAAAATAAAGAAAATTTTTGTCCTCCCCTCTCCTCCATTTTCCTCAACGCAAATATACTATAAGTGAGATAAATAATTTTTTAATAATTTAATCTTATCATTCTTTATTTATTTTAATTAATTTATTATCACAAAAAATTTCACTTCATTTTTTAGCTTTTTTTAAAAATGAAATATAAGTAAATACATAAATTATTTTTAAATTTTTTATTAGAAATTTTTTTTTAAAAACAATTATGATAGTATAAATGAAGCATCTCTTAACATTAATTATTTATCATATCTTAAAAAAAGTTTATTTTTTATTTTTTAAAGATAAAATAAATAAAAACAGAAATTATTTTCAAATCTTTAATAAAAAAATTAAAATTATGAATTATTTATTATTATTTTGAGACTGACACTATAGACTCCAACATGCGTGCATGTACCGAACCATTCATTCATGCTCGCGACAATGGCGGGTACGTGTCCCTAATAAATTAGAGTAATGATAAGCGCAACGAATTTGGGGGACGAAACTACGGGACGACAAGTGAAATGGTCTCAGGTGTAATTACTAATTTAACCCTGTTTCATTTATCTTCACTTATCGTCCCGTGGTTTCGTCCCTCAAATTAGTTGCGCGTATCATTACTCAATAAATTAATACCATCCAATTTCAAACTACAATGATCTTACTTTTTGTTTTTTCTCATCAAACAAATGTGATGTT